TATATATATATATATATATATATATATATTAAATTTAAATATTATATAATCTTTAAAAATAATTTAAAAGAAATCCATCTATTCATAATTTCATTTCACTGCATAGGTTTAATTGTATGTTTAAAATTATTGATTTTAAAACATAATTAGTTTCAAAATTATAATCAGCCACTTAACTATATAAAGAGAGTAGTATGCATGCATATGTAATATTTTCATTTTATTTTCTTAAATAAAACATTACTGTATAATATATACTAGCAACAGTCTAAAATTATGGATGTTTAAGATTATGCACCCAAATTAAAAACTATTTATTAATCTAAAATTTATTTATCTTCTTAATGTATAAACATAATTTTAATCTTTTTATTTTTCTTCGTACTTTTTGTATTATCAATTCACATAAAACTTTTTTATTTAAAAAATTATAATTTTAATTCAACCCTTAATATTATATATATATATATATATATATATATATTATTTTACTGCATTTGAACCATAAACGTAATAATTCTTATTTTTAAGGTATCATAAAGAATAATTGAATTAACTAAAATGTAAGAAACAAACAAATCAATAATTGAACATGTTTTTTAAAAATATTTCTATTTCAAAATGAAGAAACTGAATTCATGAGATTTAACAAAGTAGAAGATTCAAAATTATATGTAACTTTTTTCTTTATAAAAAACATATGATTTTATACTTTATAGTTTGCACGCCAAGATAGTGAAAGCGACGTGTAATGTGAACATAGAATAAAAATGAGCAGAATTAAGATACAGTGTAAGGGAGAAAGAGATAAAAAAAGAAGCAATAGGTAAAAAGCTGCATGTACATTTTGATCTTCTGTAACACAGATTACGTATATCTGATAGCTGTTGTTGATTTATGCAAGTATTCACATGTGTGGGGTTCCATTTTCCAACCACACACATTTCGTGTAACAATATACCTAACCCCAAATATTCAAACCAAATTTCATGTATAGCTAAAACCTATCTGTATCATAAATATATGTATATAATATTCAAAACTATATTTGGTTAAAGAGGTCCATTTGTATATGGCATTTTGGTTAAGTATAAGAAAAATATAAATGCCAGATGCATACAAGAAGATCGTTACTGATTTTTGCAACATTTTAGCTGTTTTATGGTGGAAGGGACTTGAGTTTTTGTCATGTAATATATGGAGAATGAGATCTGATAAATATATATGAGTTTTTGCAATGATTGGTGCCTTGGTGGCTTGATTAGAAGACGAAAGAACAATTTAACAATGAGGCCTGATAATATAATATAGCAAGCTAGCTAAAGATGCATAATGATTGATAAAATTTATTAGTCACACTTATGTTATTAATAAATTTATGTGTTAATTAATACATTCTGAAGTAGTTCTTCAAAAATCATCAATTTTGAATACAGTTATATGTTAAACATTGGAATAAACCTTTCCTTAATAAATAACGTGTTTTTCATAAAACTTTCATTGTATAAGATATAGTTTTTAGTATGGCATGCTGTAATAGTTATAATAATACTAGTAAAAACTTATCTCCTCCAAAACTTTTTTCTTCAAAACAATAAAGTTATCTGACAAATTTGGAGTTCATATATTCATTTCTGACTTATCAGACTAAATTAGTGTCTCCATGAGAGTTGATAATTCTAAAAGAATATGATTGAGGTTATAAGTATTTAGCCATTTTATAAAAGACCAACAAGTTGCATCTACGTGGAATGCTATGCTATGGTCATTTCAAGAATAAGAAAATTTGTCCACATCCATTTTTCCTCCCTCAAGGTATGATACATAAATAAATAAAGTACACACATACATATATATATATATATATAAACAACATATTTCTTTTCTATAATAATCAAAAGTGGGAAATCAAGGGACCATTGAGTTCTGATTACTTTATTGACTCTCTCTTTTGCATCAATCCATGCTCCTATATATATCTGATTCCCTTTCTTCTTCCCTTTTAACAATCACACAAATATTCCAATTTTCCATTGTATGTGCCTCTTCTTGTATAACTTGAACGTTTGTCATGGAAAACATGATGAGGCTTAGGAAACACAACTCTCACACAGCTTCCCTAGGCATGCACAAAGATTCCCACATGGTGTCCAAAACGAAACCGAAGATCCGCATAATCCACATATTTGCACCAGAGATCATCAAGACCGATGTGGAGAACTTCAGAGAACTGGTGCAGAAGCTAACTGGGAAACCAAGCGGAGAAAAATGTTGCAAGAAGAAGAAGGCAAGGGCAAAAAGAGAGGAAGAATATTCAAGGAGCAGCAGCACTGTGTCAGAATATCACGATACAGTGATCACGATGAAGAATAATAATGGAGGGTGTTGGGGGTTGGATGTGACAAGGGACAAAGTCAAAGAAGAGGTTGGGGTTTGTTCCAGTGATGAATGTTCTGCCGGCTACTTGGGAGGCTTCACTGATTTGGAAGGCTTTATTTCTGAGATTGGTGCTTTTCCATTTCTCCCTTTGGATGCTAATCACATGATGCAAGGGTTTGAAGCACCTCAACTTCTATAGACATATATATATATATATATTTTTATTTCTTAGACATATAGAGAGAGATCTTTTCTTCAATTTCCTAGTTCATATATATCCTTTTTGTGTTTGATTATGAATTGATTTCCCTTGCTTATGATATACATATAGAGAGAGAGAAACGACTGACTTATCACTTTCGTCTGCATCTTCTTCTGCAAATTTTAGTTTCTGCCATGCTTAAATGTCCATGTTGCACTTTGGAGAAACCAGAAAAGTCAGAGGCATTTTCAAGCAGAATAAATATCATTAACTGATGTGGCACATTAATTGATTCACTATTCTAGGGAAGAAGAATATTAATGAGTAAAAATGGTATATATTGTTCAATTATTTGTGTTTTTTAAGGATCGGAGACAAAACTCAGGCTGTGAATGTTGCCATCAGCACGTATACCAGAAAGGATAATGTTCCGCTTTTTTTTTTATCCTTATCAATAGTTTAATTTATTCTTAGTTTATGGAGGGTAAATTGAATATTCACAATAATTTAACTTATTTCTACATAAAATATCTCCTAAAATGAAAAGAAAACAATATAGTGAGATTGACAACAATTTTTAATACTGGAGAAGTCTGCAATCTTCATTCTCCATCTCTCACGTTTTTCCATTCAAATCCATAAAAGTAAACAAAGCTAAATTTTTGGATAACATGGTAAGCAAAAGGAGGAACCAAACATTAAGTATTGCTTTCCTTGCTGGAATTAATAATGATATTTTTAAGTCTTAAATGCTTGGTTTTCTTTGTATCATTGTCTCCCACTATTCATACATACAGGGAGAAGAATACTTGCGAAACATGAAAATATATTTTACAGTCCACTTGTTTCAGAGGAAAATATTAGAACAAAGTCATAGAAATGCATATAAAAAAAAGGATAAAAAGTTCAAATATGATCATTCAAATAAATGATGTGGTAATTCATTTTTTTGTACGATATCTTATTTTTAATTATGTAAAAAATAATATAGAATGATGTGAATTTGTTTATGCATAAATGTGATTTGTAAATTAAAAAAAAGCATATATGGTTGTGTAAGGCAGCTATTCCAGTTCAGTAAACATACTGTAATTGTAGGCATCCATATCCAATACCATGCAAGTTGGAATACTCTATAAGAATTTTGAAACAGCAACTAGGGTTTTAAAACTTAAAAGGAGTGCATATGGCTGAAGCACATCACATCCACCATTTTAAAATGACCTAATTTCAGAAGCCCTCTTAATAATTTATTACATGACACATTGCGTGGTGGTTGAATTTTATTTTTCATTAAGAAAAATAAGTTGAAGATATATATATATATATATATATATATATATTAGGTTTGAAGTACTAAGTTATTACTATGATGTTATATTTCAAGAGATTTTTTTTTACTATCTTAGAAAATTCTTAATAAACAAATTTTATTAATTTAAAAAGTCTCAAAATATAAAAAATTCTAATGTTGAATCAAGCTAATAAAGTATCTTAATTCCAAAACAATAAATGCATTACTTTGTTATTTTATACATTTTCTCACCATAGAGAAAAGATAAAAACATGAAGGTATTACATGTCGCAAAACCAAATTAAAGGGGTGGTTTTAAAATGATTTCTTGTCTTTATCCAGCTCCTATGATTACATTTCATTAATATTTTTTTTAAACTGGGGATAAGTGAAGGATAAGTTTTCATGTTCTCTAAATAAAGAGGAATTACATTTACCTTTTTAATACATTTTATTTAATACTCGTATTTACTCTCTTTTAAAATAAGCATTCATTTTTCTTATATTTTAAGAAAAATAACAATTACATTCTTTCTAATTTACAATAAATATTCACTTTCCTTGTACTTTTAAGAAATGCCATTTGTCAACACTATGTTTTAATAAATCGGCAGTCGCCCCTCTTATTTAATTTAAAAATAACATATTGACTAAAATTTAAATAAAAATCTAAAAGATTAAAATTATAAAAATTCACTATAAAAAATCTTTAAATAACAACCAATTTTAGTGAAGAAAAACAATGACCAATTTATATATTAATTTATAAATTAAATATTATTAATATTTAAAATAATATCTATTATAAATAAAAAAGTTATAATTGATTTATGAATTAAACTCATATTTAACAATATTTTGACTATCAAAAGGATTATAATTGATTTCTAGCATTAGTTATCAAAATTTTGGTACCAAAATCTCTTGTAGTGATTAAAGAACTTATTTTAAGAAGAAAATAAACATAAATGATTTAATTATTAAATATGTTAATCCATATTAACAAAAATAAGTGTTATTTTATTAGAAATATAAAAAAAATATTTATTTTAGAATTAAAGTAAATGTGTGTATTATTTAGCCAGCTGTACGCATATGAATGCATTTTTACTTCCCTATTATCAATAAATTATAGAAGTCAATTAATGCCATATGTGTATATTAATCTTCAAGAATATATCTATATGCCTATAACCAATCCCATCTCATTATTTGGATACCTAAATTTTTTTGAACAATTCTATAAAAGAATCTTGAAAATAAAAATATTTTTTTATAAACTAAAGTTAATTTTGTGCAAATTAAACAATTATCTAAATTAGTTTACATATAAGCTAATTTTAGTTAGTTTAAATTGGATTTTTTTTCTTCTAATTTTCTCTCCTATGTCCATAGTTAAATTTTAATTATTAAAACATATTAAAAATTATGTTCAATTAAACAAACTCCATTGATGTTCATACCAAAATTTGTCTTGTTGATTAGTCCATTTGAAAGTAAATTTTGGACATCAAACTGCTGTATATGCTCTCCTAACTAAGGAACTTCATAAGAAAATTTATCATATCTTTAAATAGAGAAAGTGATGTCTCTTGAGAAAGAAGAAAAACACTATGTTTATAAATATAAAACGGTAACTTAAGTAAATTGGTTAATTAGGTTAAGATTTTTGTACATATTGGTAGGAGACATGTAACTCTAGAGTAACAGTTTAGAACAAGTAGACCATTATCAATATTAAATTTGACTAAAGTATGGTTCCTTTAAAACATGTAATTATTTTTATTAATTTTAAAATAATATTGTTCCAACTTTAAGGTTGTTGAGATAACATCTTTAATATTAATAATTAAGATTAATAATTAAGGTATACTCTCATTTGAAACCGAATGTGTATATAATTTTTTTTATCTAAATAAATTATTAATTATATATATCAGAATAAATAACTTGTTTAACTTATAAAAAAAATTGAGTCTTTGAAATATACTTATATCACTTTTCATTTATTTTGGATTTTTTACTACAGTATATTGACAGAGATTAATGAACTTTTTAACAAATTGAATACATATTCAAGATGGATATTTCATATTACAATTAAACTTAAAAATGTATGTAAAGTTAAAAATATTATGAAAACGTCTTATTTTAAATGAAAAGTTTATTAATGATTGACTGGTTTAAGTTGTCTAACCTTTGACTTCATTATAAAACTGAACAATAACAAGTTAATTAAGAGCCTCCTAATCATGATTAGAACTCTTAATCAAAGCAATATGAAGACACGATGATATTTATTGGGAAATAAATGAAAAAATGGTAACCATAATAGGTTGACCTCTAAAAGAGGTGGATCGAAGTCAATAGGTTAGGTAATATTTTTAATTATTATTGTCAATTGTCTTATTAAATATTTGCAGGGTTTATTGTATAATACTGCTCAGATTAAGTTCCAAAGTGTTACATTATTGAAATTAATGGCAGACAACATATGCTACCTTTCTTTTAAAAGTCGTTGTTTTTTAAATAATCAACTCTTAACTTCCTTCTCCAAAACATGCTTTTGAAACAGCAACAGCGTTTACATAGGGATTGTTGCTGTAAATTTGTGTCCAAATAATTTTTTTATCAGCAAATAAAATCAATTTCATTTCAGTAAATTTATATTTTTTTAATACAATTTGATGATTTAATTAATTACATTATATAACGTTCCCAAAAAAGCAATAAAAACCGAGTAAAACATTAATTAAAGTATTAATAAAAACAATCTTTCAGTATTGACAAAAGAGTGTTATTTTTTGTTGTAAATATATGTTCATATTGCACTAAATGAAATTAGTGAAATTAAGTTATATAATTAAGAACAAAACAAATTACATCATGTTGGTAAAGCTTGTGAATTCAACTTTCTACTCACAACATACCTCTCCTAAAGATGACGGTCTTCTTTGGAAGTTTGAGGTAAAAAAAAAAAACATTATGACTCTTTACAAAATGTTAATTTCTTAAACCAAATAAAAGTCTTTGCTTTCACACCTATAAAGCTTTCACACACCACTGAATGACTTTTGGTCCTTTTCTCTTAAAACACAGCCATTGACCTCCTCCACTTCTGCTACTGCACTTCAATATACAACTTCTTTTGCATGAAACATTTTTTAATGTATTGCAAAATATAAAATTCACAATATATTTGTTTCTGAAACAAGAGTGTTTTGAAGTATGTATAAAGTTTCAGAATAGGTTTAATGTCTCGGTAGGTCCCTATTTTTGGCGTGAATCTCAAATAGGTCCCTTTTCTTTTTGGCGTTTCAATTGCATCCTTATTTTTGTAAAATTGGAGCAATTAGGGGTCTGTCGTCAAATTGAACAAACGTCGTTAAGAAGAGTATTACGTGGCATGCTGACGGTGTAGTTTTAATTTACGTGGCATTAAAAACGTGTGTGAATTATATTTTTTTAATTTTTGAATTAAAAAATTAAATGTACATAGTCGAGTTTCTACGCTCCGTTCCCAATTCCTTCACTCAGTCCTTCTGGCCGCACCCTTTCAACGCCGATTCCGTGACCTCTTTTTTCGTCGATTTCACCGGCTACGTCTCCAAGGCCGCGCAAGCGTCGCTGGATTTTGCCGAGGAGCTCACTGCCTTCGCCGGCGAAGTAATCATTTCCGCGATCGGCGAACCTCGCTCCAGCATGGAAGCCGTGCAGCTGGTGGCATTGCGGCTGCGCGCGGTTCAGGTGGCGGCATACCTCTTTCGAAAAGAGCTCCAGAGCTCCAGAACATTCAGAGCTCCAGAAAACAGTTCTAAGCCTAGAACATTCAAAGCTCCAAAAAACAGTTCTAAGCCTCTTGCCCGTGGGTGCCCAAAACTTGGTCCTCGCTGACCCAGTTGCGTGTTAGAGCTTGAAGTTGAATCATCAACACAAATTTCTTGTGCATGTCAGTGAAAAAAAGTTGTCACTTATAGATCTTAGCATGTAGTCCAGATGCGCACTAAGTAAGAAATATTTAGAGTTTGGGAGTAACTAAGTTTCACTCACTTTTCAGTGTTATCATGTTGCAGTAATTATAATTGAATTATGCCTTTCTATTTGATCAGTTCACTTCATACAAGTTTCAATACTCTTGATATTGATTATGCATAGCTTTTTTTACACTGTATACAACGGATCTTCTGGGTATGTACCATAAACACGCTAGGAGTTTTTGTCTTTTTTTTTTCTTTTGAGATATAGAGTGTGTTTATTAATAGGCTATTCTAGTGGTCTCCCTTTACCATTTATGTGCTGCTGAAGAAGTCATCTTCTGCCTTATGAAAATGGTAAAAAAGTTAATGTCAATTAACAAGCAGATGGAGTTTAACATTTTTCTTTTTATGTGTTTGCTTTTGCCTTATCAGTGAGCATAATTTTGATGCTCAGAGATTACACGAAACTTTTAAAACGTTTGATTGGAATTTGACAAAAAAAACCAGAGAATCATGATATGGATATGTCTTCCCCCTATAGAAAATGGTTTCAAAATAGTTAAACTAAATCATTTTGTTCAATAATATAATATTTTTGGCTATGCTTATTCTATTATTTTTAAATTATGAACCAGTTTTAAAATGTGAATATTGAGTTGGAAATATGTAAAGTGTCATGTGATATGCTTGCTACTAATGATAATTCACTGATTTTATGATGTCTTTCAAAAATCTGAACATATCTACCTTCGTCTGAACATAAATCTGGACTTCAAAACCTTCAAAATGGATCACAAGTATCTACCTTCCCCTTAAACAATAGAGTACAAAATAATTACCGAGGAACTCGCGTACTCATTTTATTGTACAAAGAAATACCTTTAATCTATATACTTTCAATTCAAACGGAATGAATAGTATGGTTTGACTCTACGAAGATATTTTGTCTAATGAAATCATCACTGATTGAGAAACAAGTAGGAGGATACAAGAAACCCCGAGCAGAACCGTGAGCTTGCCAGCAGAATTTGTCAACATGTGAGAGATTTGACTCTGTGAGCTTACCGTCAAAATAATCTTAGATCGACAAGGTCCACCAATGTCCACTGGATAGATAAGAAAAGTTTCCCCAGATGGAAAAACAAGATTTATAAATCCAGCGAGAGAACATGCGATTCCCCAAGCTTCCAGGAAGGCCTAAAAAGATAAATAAATAGACAAAGTCATGGGGACATTCCTAATCCTACCCAGTCCTTTCAGACAAATTATCATACATTTCATGGGCTGTTATGAAATCTACGATAAACAGTTTCAAGCAAAAGAATCATCTAAATAAACATTATTAAGCAAATCGGTCATTGTGAAGTTACACAAATAGAAGGAAGCAATTACCTCAGTGTCATTGTGAAGACCATCCCCTTTAGCACCATAATCACCGACATAAAGAACCCATTTCGATCTAGTTCGTGCTCTTCTCCACCTGGAACGTGGGTGCTGGATCACAGAATCAAACCCTTCTGCACGAGTGAGATATGGAGTGACAAGTACATTTACATGAATGAAGATAATCACAAATGCCCAACTGAAACAATATCTGAGGTTCTTCATTTTCTTTCAGATTCCGACCATCCACAGGTTTCGTGACAGAATCTTAGGTTGCTGGTTCAGCAGGAACAACTACTAAAAGAGTATCACGTGACAGAAACACCATTTGAAAACA